CCTACACCCCCACAGGATGCAGCCCTTTCATAGTTCTGTACAAGGTTTTAATCCAAATTGATTAATTTATCGGTGGCTGTCACTTTGAAGAGTTTCATAATTAAATCTAGACCCATCAGAGTCATGCATGCATGAGGACATATACACACACACACACACACACACACACACACACACACACACACAACACACACACACACCTATACCATTCCTCTTTTTATGCTAACCTTTTCAACTCAAAAAAATTAAATTTACATTTTAATTTAAAAAAAATAGCTTTGTCTGCATCTAGCATATTCCATCCCAGTTTGACTTTCAATGAGATGACATTTCTGAAATATTTGCTGCTGTGCCTAACTGTATCATTTAGAAGTGATGGGGAGAAAAGTTTAAATCATGACACCCTAATTTCCCACTTAAAAACTAACTCTAGAAGAATGTAAATTGGGGTAGATAGAGAAAGGTGGAATCTGGGACAAGTTAGGAGGAGAAATAATATGACCAAAATATATTGTATGAAAAAAATTTAAATTAACTCAAGCAGTTGGTTTGGTATATAAATGTGGCTATTTGTGAACATGTGAATATCTTAAGTGCACAGCGAGATAACAAAATCCCAAGTATTTAGATGTGAATAGCTCCAGTACTCAATGAACTTCTTCACCATGAACTTGCATCAGCAACTTGAATCTGAGCTCTGTGCTGGACATTGTGACGTGCCAGACTTAGCCGTATTGAATTTCTTGAATTGTGTTTGATGGGCAGAGCCAAGTATGGATATTCAGTTTAGCCATAGGCTATGAGTCTAATCGACTGGGTATATTCATCTCAGAGCACTGTTCCCTGGAAAAATAGCATCATAATTAACACTGGTCAACTACAGTGTTTATGGTTTTAAAGAAGACCAGAAAAATCCATGTCAATGCAACCTTTTTAAATGTTTGAGATTATAATGTAACTATATAATTTCATCCTTCCCTTTCCTCCCTCTAAATACTCCCATGTACCCTTCCTTGTTCTCTTTCAAATCATGGCCTCCTTTTCTATTAATTGTACACAAACACACATACATACACATACACACACATGTGTATGAATATTTGTGTATTTCTATATACATAAATACACCCCACTCAATCTGTATAATGGTGTGTGTGCATGTGTGTGTGTGTGTGTGCGTGTGTGTGTGTGTGTGTGTGTGTGTGTGTGTGTGTGTGTGTGTATGTATGTGTGTGTTTAGGGGATGACCATTTGGTGTTAGGTAATCAACTGGTATGTCTCAGCATTCCTTAGCTGTCTGGAGTTCTTTGTGTAGGGTTGAGACCTCATCAGCTCTCCCCATCTATTGTTGTCCCTGTTCAGCTCATGTTCAGTCATGTCAGTGACACTTTGTGAGTGTGGCTTCTGTTATTCCTGAGAGACATCAACTCACAGCAGGTCCCTATTCCGTTGCCCCTTACAGTCTTTCCACCCCTCTTCCTCAGTGTTTTCTGAGCCTTAAGTGCAGGAGTTGTGTGTCAGTTGCTCCTTGGGTTAAGTCTTAGTTCACAGTTTGAAGAGACAGCCCATCCTGGCAGGGAAGCCCCAGCAGCAGTAGCATGAGGCAGCTGGTCACACTCTATCCACAATCAGGGTCAGAGAGAGGTGAATGTTGACACTCAGGTTCTCTTTCTTCTTTCTGGTTAGTCTAAGACCTCAGCCCGAGTGAGAATGTAATAGTGACAGCCATGTCCACGTAGTTACGTGAAGTAAGAAGAGGAAATCAAAGCAATATTCTGAATTGGCCTGCTTATAAACAAATGCATAGCACACATTTTATCCTTTTGTTGATTTTATTCTCAATGGCTGGATTTCACATATTTCAAAAGCTTTCTGCAATGTGTACAGTTCCTCTTTTCCTCTTCTTCCTCCGTTATCTTCTTCTTCATCATCTTTATTATCTCCTTCTTTTTGTTTCTCGTGTTTGTGAAGCAGTGTTTTCTTATGCAGCTCCCATTGGCCTACAACTCCCTGTGTAGCCCAGGCTAGACTTGAGCCTGTAATCCTCCTGCTTCAGCCTCCCGAGTATTAGGATCGCAGGAGTGGGCCACTAGGCACTGCTCAAACTCTTTCTTTATAGGAAATAGTCCGTTCTGGAAATGACAATACCTTGGTTCTCAAAGCTAGATAAATAATAACTTTCTCCTTTTGTTATACGGCAACAGAATGAGTAATACTGTCCTTCCCGGCTCATGCCTGTGTGAACACGAAACCGCCACCGAGTTCCCAGTGGCTTCCCTTTCAGTGTTTTATTTAATAAGAGAAAGTATAATTGGCTTGCAAAAGAGAAATCTCAAGTTACACGAAATTTTAGCCTGTCGTGGTTTATGTAGGGCAACCGCTCCTTAAAAATTCATGTGTGAGTTGTGATTTTCTTTCTGCATGAATCCAGAAGGGCGGTTTCTCACTTCTTAAAATCTCCTTCTTTATCCATTCAGTGAACACTGCCTCCTCCCATCCCCAGATTCCCTTTAGAAGTTTATCCTGTTGGACTTCGTTTTTGTGTGGCTAATCCTGGGATCCACTGTTTCTAAGCAAAGGACAGATGCTAAGTCAGTTGTAATAGCTGAGTAGTTTAAAGATGGTCCCCTCCACTACCAGGGATTTAATGATGTAAAAACTACATAAAAATGCATACTGGGGAAATGTTCTTTTAGTGGGGAATCAAGTTCACTATTTGATGAACCTCTTTTAAATAAAAAGTGAGTCAGAAATGTCCACATGATCATTATCCTTGGAATCTAGATAATATTGTTTCACCTAAATCTCAGACAGTAGGCCTCTCGAGGTCTCAGAGGCATTTACCAGATGAATGTTGGTTTTACACTGTAACAAGTTGGTTTTAGTCTGTGTATATCATTCTTCAGTTTAAGCTCCATTTGTCTGCCAGCAATTCCAGACTTCCTTCAAGCTTTACACCCATCATGTGCAGCTAGTCAGGTTCTCTTGATGGACCTCAGTTAAAGACTGAAGTTCAGAAGGAGTTGTTTTCTGGGAAGAGTAGCCAATGCTGAATAACATCTATGTTCTTGGGATACCTTTGCACACATTAAATCCACATACAATCAATTTATATTTAAATGATTTCTGGTAAGACACAGATAATAATACATGTCTTAGTCAGTGTTTGATTGCTGTGAAGAGACACCATGACTATGGCATCTCTTAGAATGAAAACATTTTTACAGTTTCATAGGTTAAGTCCATTATCATTATATGAGGAGCATGGCAGCATGCAGGCAGATATGGTGCTGGAGAAGTAGCTGAGAATCCTATGTCTTCCGGGAGAGAAGCTTAAGCAAAAGAGACCCCAAAGCCCGCCCCCTCAGTGACACACTTCCTTCAACAAGACCACACCTCCTAATAGTGCCACTCCCTATAAGCTTATGGGGATCAATTACATTTAAACTACCACAATATGTTTCACATAAAACCGGAGAATAAGCATGCATGCAAACTACTATATGCTGGGCAGGAGTTTTCCAACCTAAGCTTTAATTCAAAGAATCGAGTCATCTGTCTAGAGTTGAAAGACAGAAAAACTTCTTAAAGTGTAGGAAACATCACACAAAGTTTACAGGCTTATGTACCACAGCTATGCCAACAACTGAAAAGTAAAATTAAAATCTATCCTGGGTCCAGAAATCAGTGAAAGGTGATTACTATGTCTTTCTCCAGAAGTTGTCAATGAAATGATTTTCTCTGCTTACGAAATACTACGTAGGGATATTGATATTTGCTTTTTGTATATTCGTTGCATACTAAAGACACTGCAAATTAATCATTACAACTACTTTTAATTTCATTTAAAATAATATATACTCTCTTTATATGATAAATATTAGAGCTCCATATTCAAAACATAAAAAGTATGAAACAGTCCAGTAAAACGCAGCTATCCCTACAGTCTGTCTCTCCTTGTCACACAGTGTTTTAGGAGAACCATAGACACACGTTCAAAGGGTTCGTTACTGAACACGTTCTCATTTGGGGCATTTCAACGTAGCAGATATTTGCCATCTAAATACAAAACTTCCTGATCCACTCAAAGGATTTTATAAGTTCCTCAATAATTGCTTTCAATGATCTCAGGACACTGATGTCTTGCATTGCATCTTGATTATTTTCTTTCCATGGGTTTATCTTACAACCATGAACTATTAATAAACTCGATATTATAAACATCTCCGAATGGATATACTTACTACAATTGGCAGCAGACACACACGTCTAAATGGGTTACTGAGGAACTCACCATGCCTAAAAGTTTTCAATGCCTGGAATTAGTACTGAGGCCTTGGAAGGCATCTTCAATGGACTTGTAAATTATTTGAAGAAGAAAATCCCACTTTTCCTCATAAAACTGTGTTCCTTTGGATTTTCTAGTAGTAAACAATTCCCTCACCACACATGTTCACATGTTGCTGCATAGAAGAGAATCTTAGGCTGCTCATTTTTCATATGCTTCTATGTGCAGTCTCACACTTATGTGTCACAATAGAGAACATGGGTTTCTCTTCTGAGGCTTTGCTCTGGGGGATGAATGTCTCCTCAGCTTTCTGAAAGTCCACCCTATGGTAAGAGTTTGGAGCTGTAGACAAAGGAAACGGGAAGAGACCCCTACACTGCACCAGAGACAGTGATTAGAAAACAGTGCTGCAAGCTTTGAAAACAGAAGCAGAAACCAAGCCAGCAGTCTGCAGCCCTGAGCTAAATCACTCTCCTATCTGAACTGTGCGCGAACCCAGCCTCTGTAGCAAACTGCAGCCTTCGGGAAGGAACACAGTCACTCCAAAGTGGAGTTTCAGGCCCATCACTTGCGGTTTCTGTCACCCTCTGTTGCTCTTCATGAATGAAACATGCAGATGCCACCGCACATCGGCTCCTCCAGTGCGGAGGAAAAGGGGTCAAGGGACACACAGCGCAGCCAGTGCGTTAGAGATCTGACACCGGGTACTTACACCTCCAAATGCTTCCAGATCACAGCCTCGGGGAATAGCTAGCCCATTTCTTTACAGCACTGTTGCTTCCATCGGCTGTGGGAATTAGCATAAAATAATAGAGTAACCCGTTAGAGCTGGGCAGCTCTGCAGAGCATCAGATTACGTGAACACTTAAAGGCACGCGGACATCGTACAAAAGCTGAGGGATAAATAGCTCATCTATACCTTCTCTATACCTTCTCGTCTGCAAAAGGGAGGCAGTCTGAGCCCCGGTGCCCGCTGCTCTCTTCTTGTGTAACAGCTAAACCGGCTCAGTCCTTCTGACAGGGCGAGAAGCGCGCCTGCAGACAGTGTCTGGGCGGTCCTAGTGCCTGCTCAGGTTAGAAGGCTAGCAAACTCCACAGGGCCTCCCTGCCGTGTCTTCCAGGGGCTGCCACAAAGAGGTTTTTAAGGATGTCACCTGGTTAAGCCGCAGCAACATTGTCTATGGAGAGATGCTAAGTAAACAATAGTTTGCTAATGTCGTCCAGACTATGCTGTGGAGAAGAAAAGGGTTGGAGATTAAGAAGGTGTGCTGTCAACGTTCCATGTTCAAAGGCAGGCGGCCTTCAGACAGGAAACCAGTTTGCACCAACACCGTGATTATTGAAATGCATTTGTTTTGTGGGTTTCTTTTTAAAGCCCACATTTAAATTGTGAAGGGAACAACACAGGAGTGGGTTTTTTTTTTTCTCTCTTTACAAACACTCGGAGGTTCTAATAATTAAAACCTAGCGTAGCCTGTTAAAAATACAAAAGAAGCCGGGCGGTGGTGGCGCACGCCTTTAATCCCAGCACTCGGGAGGCAGAGCCAGGTGGATCTCTGTGAGTTCGAGGCCAGCCTGGTCTCCAAAGCGAGTACCAGGAAAGGCGCAAAGCTACACAGAGAAACCCTGTCTCGAAAAACCAAAAAAAAAAAAAAAAATACAAAAGAAAAACGCAAATCAAATGGAGACCTGCTGGAGCTTATTCTTTAAAAGGGGCGGAAAAAAACGCAAGCCTCCACTTCACACAGACGCCATTTGGTCTTTCTCTATTCATTTCCCCCACCTTTCACTACACTGACTTCCCACCCACAGTGTTGGTGTTTACACTTCCTTTGACTTTGCTATCATTTAGAAGTACTATACCATTTGCAAAAGAATCTATTCTATTTACTTTGCAAAGTAACTCAGCACATGGTGGGCTCTCAGTAAATACCTGAGAAAAGAGTGAAGCAGACAGTTAAGAGTGAAAAGTTACTGTGCATAATACACCTACTGATGCCAATTTCTGAGCTGGTGAAATTCAATTTACTGTTATCTCTCTAAGCAACTATTTCCTTTCAGGTACCATTCTGGGGACACGTCTGCCTCTAGGGAGCTCATAATTTATTTTTATTTAATTTAATTTTTAAAAGATGTGATTTTATGTATGTCTGTGTATTTATGTGTATGTATGTGTGTATGTGTGTGTTTGTATGAATGTATGTCACATGGGTGAAGGTGCCCGCAGTGGCCATAGGAGGGTGTCAAGACCCTTGCAATCAGAATTCAGACAGTTGAAAACAGCCTGATGTGGATGCTGGGGACTGAATTTGAGTCCTCTGCAAGAGCAGCAAGTCCTCATAACTGCTGATCCATCTCTTTAGCCACATCATAATTTCAATTAGAAAATTAATCAGTGCACATAATTACAAAAAAGTCTCACATATGTAAAATATTTGCCTTAAGATAATGGGTATCATAAGTCATGTGTTTTGATGCTTTGGGTACAGAACTGGAAGATTAGATTTCTTTTTAGACAGTATTTCCCGTTAAGAGATTGAGTACAGGGAGCAGGTTAGTATAGATGGGACCAGAATCTGAGAAGTCAAGTTCATTGATATTTTTCTAACAAAAGTACATGAAAATAGCAAAATTGGCAGAGGGAAGTAGAAAGGTAGGTATGGGTTGCAGGCCTTGGACCACAGCCTAGCACTGGCAAGTGGTCAGCAGGAGGGTGTCCACACCTAACAGAGCTGGTTGCCTCTGCCAAAAGAAGAGACATTTTCCAACTCATGTCCAGGCAAGCAGGTTGTACACATGGTGTTTGACAACTAGTAACAAGACATATTAGACAGTTAGTACATATGCCAGAGAAGAAGAGATGCCAGGGTGCAGCTAGAAAAATTCAAGGCAAGATTCTCACTATGAAGAACTCAGGAGTTCTCTATTATGAAGATTTGAGATCTACCAAGCCTAAGAACCAAGGAGGGAGAATGATTATTTTAATAATCTAAGGACTTGGAAACTATCAACAACTGGATTAATCTCAAGTCTCAAGTAGGTCAAAGAACTTTAGCTGCTTGGGGGAAAAAATGTAAACACAAAGGTTCTGCAGGTCACTGCAGAGTCAGGTTAGCCTGGAGCATAATTCTGGCTCAGTGCATGATTGCTTGGTTGAGCCCAGTAGGACTGACTTGCTTCTCTATTATGCTTCGTTGTGTATCTTCCCAATTTATAATGTTTTTGAAAAAAAATATTAACTGCTGGAAATGTCTCCTTAAGAGTTGCTTGTAAGTAGGAAACCATGCACAACTTGGTTAGAGCCAGGCAAGTAGCTATATAGCAAGTAAGGGTCCGATGCTGGACAACCGTCTATAGCCACTTATTTCTATGAATGTTCGAGAGTCTTGGTAGGAGTGATGTACTCTGTAAAGGCTGGGCCCTAGAGATAACTGACATGTGTCTGTGCAATAAGGACAGGTAAGGGTAAGAAAAGTAGGGTGCTGAAAGAATCTTCTATTGAAGAACCCTCTTGTGGGGTACAAAATATAATTAAGAAAAAAGATCTTAAAACTTTCAAAAACAAAAAAAGTACAGTGTTCTAAAACAAAACAAAACAAAAATCCAAAAAACAAAAACAATAAGGAAAAAAAAAACACAAAGCAGGGAGGTCAGAGAGATTTCTCACTCTCCTTTTGTCATTTTTGGACACACAAGTAGTCAATAGTCTGTAGCCCAGAAGAGACACAAAAACCAGAACCAATCCCTGCTTGCACCTTGATCTGCTATGGAATCATCCTCTGTTACCGTGAATATGTATTACTCTCATTGGTTAATAAAAAACTGACAGGCCATTAGTGAGGCAGGAAGTATAAGTGGGAGAGCCAGACACAGAGCACCCTTGGAGGAAGAGGGCAGAGTCAGGAAGAAGTCAGCCAGCTGCAGAGGAAGCCGGACACACAGAAAATGAAGTAACAAGCCATGAGCCACATGACAAAGGATAGATAAGAAATATGGGTTAATTTAAGTGTAAGAGTTAGCTAGTAACAAGCCTGAGCTATACACTGAGCATTTGTAAATAATATTAAGCCTCTGTGTGGTAATTTGGAAGTGACTCCTGGGACAGGAAAACTCTGACTACAATGGCACCCAATGTAGGAAAACTCCATCCACATAAAACCTGAGAGAGCTTTTAAAAAGGTTCTAAAATAGAGCCAAGAGCAACTTCCTAGTCTTGTACTTCTCATACAGGTCACAGTACAGAGAGGCATCTCCCAGCTGCCACCTGTATGCTTGAGCCACCAGAGTGAGCTGAGCCAATGTGCTGTGTGGCACGTTTGGGGTTTTGCTCATGCAGACAGAAAAGGTTACAGATACACAGTAAGGACAGATTTAGAGAAAGAGAGCCTCTAAAAAAATCACAGTGTGTTTGAAAATGCAGATAGACTCGGGAAAGAGAAGAGAAAGAATATACACAGTCTCAAATTTAAAAATATAGTTTTAAAATAATAAAATAAAGTCCTTAAAAAGGGAGTAAGTAATATAAAAGAAATAAGCTACATAAAGATGGGAAATACACAGAGAGTTTAGATCATGTATGTTATTGTGTTGTCTTTGAATTATTTGGCTGTTAAGAGACATTGGATTATGGAAACTGCTGGATTAAACCAACCTATATATTTTAAGAACATCTTGACTTCAAAATTTAAGTCAAAAGATAGATTGCTTTGGGGGCGAGGTTATCCTTTTGTTTCCACAGGAAATGAGGGGCTATGGATTCATTCCAGATTAAGGAAAATCGGGTTTGATCGAGGAAGATCCCTTGAAAATCCTTGCTACAAACATAAATAATAAAAAAAAAACCCTACAAGGCATGTGATATATATTTTACCTGCTCAAACTTATAACAAGAAATGATCTTTAACTTACTTACATGCATTGCACAATCTATACTTGTACTAATACAGAATGTATGTTACCTTTAAAAGTTTAAATACTTTCAGAACAAAGGGGCCAGACACCAATGAAAATGATGGCCTGGATGATGCAGCATCTAAAACAGCTTTCTAGGCTGCTGACAGATGATCCAGCCTCACAAAATACTATAACTAAGAGTTAACAATTATCCTGATTAACTCAAGTTTCCCTCAAAGATTACCCGAGCTCCCAATCAACAGGAAGTAGTCTAGAAAACTATGGCACATCCCCCTCAAAATGAATTATGGATATTTGTTATCATTTAGTGGGGGGTTGTTTACAAGTTGTTATTGGTAATGGTCAGAAAAATGCTAACCAAAGGAAATTAGATTTAGGGAATCTCATTATAAAAAGAAAAGGGGGGATATAGAAATGGTAGGATAAAAAGGTAGATTATTGAATCTACTTTAATCCAAAAATTAAATTATTAATATTTTATATTAGTATGGATTTTGGTTTATTGTTACAAATTCAAACTTAATTTTGTTATACTGTATGTGTATTTATACTCTTATTTGGGGTATTGTGTTTATGCAGCTCATTAAAAATGTATAATTAAGACATACAATATAACAAAATTAAGTTTAAATTTGTATTCATAAACCAAAATCCATACCAATGAAATATTTAAGATTAATAGTTGTTTTTTGGATTAAAGTTGATTCAATAATCTACCTTCTTATCCTATCTCTTGTATATTATATCCCCATTTTTTCCTTTAGAAAGAGATCTTTGAACTTCAGTTTTTTTTACTATTACCAATAACAACTTGTAACCAATCCCCCCAAATGATAATAAACATCTATAACCCCCTCCAAAAAGAAATAAAGATTAATAGTCATCTATAATAGTCAAACTTATAGTCATATTAAGTATTATTTCAAGGTCATATACAGATATATTTAGGTAGAGAGATGGTTTTCAAACACTTCAAAGACCTACAGAATATGGCATTTAATATGTTTAATAATATAAGGCTTTTCATGACTGTGAGACATGTCAGCACCAATCTACTTCAGAGAAGATGATGGGCATCAAAAAAACTCCATATGGAGTTTGATTTCTTTGTGGCATAAGCTTGGCATTAG